TCAGACTGCTGTGCTATATATAATAGTAAACAAATTTGTGTTCAATTATGAGCACTAGAAACAAATACTAGTGAGTGAATAAAAAGTTAGTGAGGGATTATGATGGATAAATCAGTTAATAAGAGAACTTGATGGATAAGCAAATTAATAAGAGTCCATAGTGGAGGTAATTTCCTCTTTTGAAAAACATTATCTTTGGAATATACACAGGATGTAGTTTTCAAAAGAAAAAAGTGTATATAGGGGAAACAATTTTCACTCATTCTCAAGACATTCAGTACTTTTCCATAGATAATCTATTGCTATACAAGCATAATAATTCCTTTTCAATATATTTTCCCAGCAATAAAGAAGTTCAGTGTTTGTAGTTTTAGAAAGAAGAGTGTTGATCTGGCCTGAAATATAAAGTTTTACTTTAGATATATGTCTCATAAATAGTTTTTAAGAAGTCAGGGAGTATGCTTACAAAGGGATTACCAAGGCCCTATAACACATGAGTTTTGGGGCACAGGGAGATCAAGATTTATAACAAAGTTAGGTGTGATCTAGGGCCAAAGTTTAGCACCAGGGTGTGTGTGTGTGTGCGTGTGTGTGTGTGTTGGGTGGGACAGGTGGAAGCCTTTGGAGAATGCCTGTAGGCTGCTAGGGAGGTGCTATGATCTCTAGGCCTTGGTAGGTCCTTACGAATAGACATGGTTCTGAACGGTTGACATCCCTACAGGTTTTTAAATATTTTTGTTATCCACAGGGGTGACCCTGGACATCATTACAGAAATTTAAAAATTTCACCCCTGGTCACACAGGTTATCCTTCTCGTGATGGCATGGCAAAACTTGATTTGCAAGAGTTTCTTTTGTACTGTCCCCAGTGTATCCCTTTAAAAATAGAAGGTCCTCCAGGGTGAGGAATGAAGGAGAAAATATCCCTTCTAACCTATTTTCTCATCTTCATTCCAAGGACTCTAGAAAGGCACAGCAGGTTTGGTTTTGAAATCTGTGGAATTTTAGTGCTGTCCATTCTCCCAAGTGGATGCATTTAGTGAAGGTAAGAGGAAAGACTGTTTTCTGTATCAAGGGAAGATTCATGTGCAAACCCCAAGATTCAGATGTTAATTGAGAGGAGTTGGTGTCCATAGTTAAGTAGAACTAGCCCAGGTTCATCTGCCTACAAGGGCAACTGTGTGAGGCAAATATGAGGAAACTGGCATAACAGGTGGGGTGGAATCTTCCTGGGAGAAAGAGTAAAGAGAATTCTAGGTGGAGAGGGGATCGATGTGTTGAGCAAATACATGTCTGTCTTCTTATTTCCTATATGAAATCATGGAAAAGACTTTAGAACAAACAATAAATATGTCATAGTAGGAAACCAAAGAGCACTCCTTTGGCCAGAAATAGAAACTGTTTAAACAAAAATAAAAGCAAAACAACAACAATAAAAAACACCTTAGACTTTGAAAACGATAGAAGTTAAAAAAATGGAAAGTTGCCTGGATGTGCTTTTATTGTGGCCTCTCTAATGAACCTATCCCCACTCTATCTTCGTGTCCTTGCTTGTCCTAAGCAGCATGGTGGCAGCCGTGGCATTCATCAGGCTAAAGTGGTCGTTTTGGCACTTGGGCTTGAGATGACAGTGAAGCGGCATCGTTTGGGGAAATGCCAGTGGTTTGTTGTCTCACACTATGGAAATTGAAGATATGGACACAAAAGGAATGTGTTTAAGAGTGAAAGTTTAATAGGCAAAAGAAAGAAGAGAGAGTTTCCTTGTGCATTGGAAGGGTGTCTAAGCAGGTTTCTGGGTTTGGGGTTAGTTGTGGTTGGTTTTATAGAGCAGCTTGAGGAGGCAGTGTCTGATTTACATAGGGCTGAGAGGATTGGTTGGATCAGGTGTACACTTTATGTGATGCATTTAGAGGCTGGCCATCCCACACTAATCTTTAGTATGCAGATGGGGCCTCTACCTGGCCTGTGCCATGTTGCCTGCACATGTGAAGACAAAGAAAAGGGAATAGGAGGCCAGGTGTGGTAACTCATGCCTGTAATCCTAGCACTTAACAGAGAACAAGGACACTGGATCAAGAGAGGTCAGGAGTTCAAGACCAGCCTGGCCAAGATGGTGAACCCCGCCTCTACAAACAAACAAATAAACAAAAATTAGCCATGTGTGGTGGTGGGCTCTTGTAATCTCAGTTACTCAGGAGGCTGAGGCAGAGAATTGCTTGAACCTGGGAGGCGGAGGTTGAAGTGAGCTGGGAACGTACCACTGCACTCCATCCTGGGCTACAGAGTGAGATTCCAACTGAAACAAAACAAAACAAATCAAAACAAAACAAAACAAACAAAAAAAAAGAAAAAAAGGAAGAGGAAACCTCCATGTTGAGTATGCGTGGCTTCCAGGTATCCCTTTTCTATTTATACGTGCCGACATTTACTTTTGCTTGATTTTTCAGGCTGATTTTTGTTAGAAAAGAAATTATATGGGTGCTGCTTTTTTATTAAAAGAAAAACCTTCCCGAGGACTCCCTTGCCCACACTGACTGCTTAATAATTTCTTTTCAGCCCCTGTATCGGCAGTGCTTGCTTCTGATAGGTGATGACCATGAGAGGGGCCAGGAGTCTCTAGACCTAGAGACAAGTTGCCAGCACTCTCCTGATGGAGTGTTTCCCTCCTCATCACCACCTGCTGGTCAGTTTGACAAACAGATGAATAAAAGTTCTCAAATACACAATAAACAGATAACCCCAACATCACCAGAAATATCAAGTTGGGATGGCATTTTTTCAAATTGTCTTTATTTTTAGTCTGCATCATCTGTTGCTTTCTGAGGGAAGTTTTTTGAGTTCTCCCACTGAGACTGTGGATTTGCATTTTTCTTTTTGTATGTCTGTCAGCTTTTGCCATACATATTTTGTAGTTGCGTTGTGTTGTGAGGCAGATTCATGACCTGTGTTGTGAGAGAATTCTGTATTTATCAGATGTTCATCTTACGTTCTATTTTGCCTAGTATTGATGGTATAACTTTACTTTTCAGTTTCACATTCATTTAGTATATCCTTTTCCTTTCTGTGAACCCTTGTGTGTTGTTTATTTGAGATATGCTTTCTTAGGTACTGACAGTGACCCCCAAATTCATATGTTGAAGACCCAACTCCCAATGCCCTTGGAGGTGGGCCTTTGAGAAGTAATTGGGTTTAGATTAAATCATGAGGGTGGAGCCCCCATGATGGAATTAAGTCTTTCTAAGAAAAGGAAGAGAGTCTGAGCTCTCCTCTGTCTGCATCATGTGAGGACACAGAGAGCTGGCAGCCATCAACAAGCTGAGAGAAGAGGACTCAGAAGGCAACTTACCTCACTAGAGCCTTGTCATATCGCTTCCCAGTTTCCAGAAGAGTGAGAAATCAATTTCTGTTGTGTAAGCCACTCTGTCTATGAAATTTTGTTATGACAGCCAGAGCTGATTAATGCATGCTTCTTGAACTTTGTTTTTAACTCAGTATGAAACTCTTATATTTTTATAGGAACATTACTCCATTCTTTTTTAGTGTGTTTATTAATAATTTTGGATTTATTTGTGCCATATTTAGAACTCCTCTTTCCTCTTTCCCACGCTTGCTTGTTGTTTCAATCCAAGTGCATGATAAGGTTTAGGAATCACTATCTTAACAGGACCATGAAGGGCTAGATAAGGGAAGCTGGCTTGCATTCAGGGAAGAGACAGAGGAGGGAAGCTGCCAACTGGGCTGTGCTAAGATGACCTGAGCCCCAGACTCTGAATGAACATCCTCTTCTGGATACAGGACATGCCAGAGGCATCATTTTGAAATCGGCAAATTTTATTTGCTTTGCGTTCTTTCGTCATCTGTATTAGCTTTTGCCTCTTGAGTGCCAAAATATAGCAGTTTTTATATTACCCAAGTTCCTGAGTTTAGTTTTTCTTGTCAGAATTTTCCACCTTTAGAAATCCCAAATGATATGTTTCCTCTCTTTCTCAGACCATGCTTTCATTTCAGTCAGTGTAACATTTCAGCCAGGTCTTAGGAGTTTAAAAATCTGATTGGATTGATTCATACTAAGCTATAACAGATCTACCACAGCCTTCCAAGATGAATTGGAGTTTTCTAAAAGCTCCATGACCTACACAATTCTTTAGGTGCTGGAATTACACACTTCTAAATCGCATCAAGTATACACATTCAATTTTGTGGACATTTATTTTTTATGGAGATATGAGGATAGTTGTTGGTTAATACTGGTAGACTTTACTCCAAAAGCCAATTCTAGTAAAATTTCTTTATTTTTTTTAAATTCTAGACTATCAGAAAGAATAAAAATGCCATTTTTTTTTTCTTTTTGCTATAGCTGCAATATTCACAGTAATCCAAGTTCCAATGTCAGGGTGGGAGAGCAGAGCCAAATGAGGCCACGGTTTTTTCATGAAGTGCTTTTTTTTTTTTTTCTTGAAATCAGGGATTCAGACATTATAATATAAGTGTTCAATTAGAAAGTTATTATGATAGTGCATGGCACGTGTCCTTTCCATCATCTGGATTTTTCTGATTTTTTTATCTGGCTCACTCTTACTCACTCTCCAGTCTTCACTTTAGTGGTCACTTCTCCCCAGAATGCTCATGACCCCTTAAGATATTAGTGCTGCAAACACTAAAAGCTGAACTTATAACTGGACTCACAGGCAACACCTTGTCCTGTGCCATGCTTCACTAATGACGAGGAAATGAGAAAGAGTAGGAGAAAGGAGGCAAAACAAATACCATTTCCAGAGCAGAGGCCTCAAGGCCAGCCCACTTGATTCTCTGGAGATCCTATTCTGCATAACAATTATGAAAGGTAGCCTGGGAAAGCCATTTGTCTGAGGCTTCACCTTTGATACCTTGCTAGTCACTAAACTAAGAGATGGATTCCATTCTTCAGTGTCGCCATTGCGTCATAAATCCATACATAGCAGTGGTATTTATTTCCAATAAAGTATCCATATAAATTAGGTATATTCTGTTGACAATTTTATTAAAGTTCTTTATTTATCTTCCAGATAGTAGATTCTATCAACCAAGTTTCATAAAGAGTTCTGATTCCCAGAGGTAAGAACTGAGCCTGGCTTTCTAGTTACATGTTTACTGGTAACTCGGTCCTTCCCTACAACACTTAAGCATATTTAAAGACTATACCCTCCCCTGCCTCCAGCCTGGATTGTAAGCTCCTCAAGAGCATGGCTGTGTCTTTTAACATCAAGTCTCCACGTGAGAAAGAGTTCCTGCCGTATCACAAATGCCCAATCGACATTTGTAAGTGAAGAAAGCTATTCTGTGGTGTCTGCTTTAATATTAAGAGATGGCTTGCCCAAATTGCTAAGCAGCTTCATTGTCTAAAATGGAACTAGATTCTGTGGGTAGCAGGTCCATTGGTGCCACTCACAGGAGGCCTCAAAGAAACCTGCCGCCTTCACAGAGCTGCGGGAGCGTTCATTTTCTTCCAGCACAGAGATGTAAAATGGAATATTCTTCTGAAGCAGATACTTCTTGTATCGCACCATCACCTGTGCCATTTTGCCTGTCTTTCGGTATTTTTCCACACTGTAGGCCATTCCTACTTCACAAGAAGGGTCCATGGTTATCCATGCGACTGGGGCCCCCTCTGGTCCCAGCATACAGGCTGCTGGCAGGGCTCCTATGCAGCGCTTGATGTAGCGCAGGCTCCTCTCATTCTTCCCTAGCTTCCAGTTGTCATTTACCAGCCCAGAATAAGATACATCCAGTTGGCCATACTTAAAGTTGGGAGTTTCCCTATAGAAAACATAAAGAAAGACAAAAGCTTTGACCCCACTCCTGTAATTTCTGGGTGCCATCCCAATCTTGGGATCCCAGGCCCTCTTTTTCTTTAAAGACCCACCAGTGCAAAGTTGCATATTTTGACCTTTGACAACCTTTATTCATCCCTAGGAATGAATTCATCCTCTCTTCATTCCAAAACTGAAGTATGTGAATTAGAAAAATGTACAAGGAATAGCAATTATAAATGATTAGCATATGTTTTTGTACCTTTCAAAGTCATCATCTGGGTGGCCTGTCTCAGCCCAGCTTCCAAACTTGCTTTTATTGGAGGCATTGAGCTTCAGAATATCTTCCGTAACCAAGAGGACTGCTGTCGAATGCTCTACCATCACTGACTTTGAAAATGCAGCTGCTGTTATCCCCTCACCTAAACTTTCTTGAAGACCTGGGAAGAAAGGCAAGAAAACAATCTTGTCAGATATGGAGTTCTCTACTTACACTGCTCCCACCTGATTAATAGCTCAGTGCTTAGTCATTCTCAGACTTGAGTTTACACCATAATCAGACGGAGTCCTTGTCACACCACAGATTGCTCTACCTCTCCCAGCTCCCAGAGTTTCTATGAATTTACATTTCTAATGAGCTCTCAGGGGATACTAATGGTATTAGTTGAAGACACAATTTGAGAAGCACTGCTGCTTTCCCATTTGTTCCAGACTCGTTACCTTGGATTCGGAGTCTCTGTTTCCAGTTGATGATCTCACAATTTTTCAAAACTTCTTGTGATTTTTGAGGGTCTTTGGAGAATATACGATATACATTTGTGTATGAATCCATGTCATCAGTCATCTCCTGTATAGGATGGTGAAAGTTCAGATCATTCCCTTGAACTATTTCTTCACCTCTCACTGATTGCAATTATCAGAAAAATGAAAATTCAAAAGAAAATTTTGACACTGGCCCATGATGGCTGCAGTTGGGCACACGGATAATAAAACCTAGACCTATAAGCTACTGCTGACCTCTTAACTGTGTAACTGGAGTTTGTTAAATACTTAACACTGAGAGGTAATAGTTATAAACCTGTTTATTAGATACAGAACAAAGACAGGATGAAATCAGTCACCCTCCATCAGGCCTTAAGATGCCTCACCTTTCTCTCTACCCACTCAACTGCACCCTTAACTTATTTTACATATAGCGTCACCAAGTACCCAGCAAATTCAGAAGATTGCAACAATTGCTTCTCTCCCTGCTTCTGTCACCTCCTGGGCCACATGTATCCATCCTTCTGTTATACACACACACACACACACACACACACATACACACACACACACACACACACACACACATATATACACACACACTCATACATACACATACACACACACACACATATACACACACATACACATACACACACACACACACACACACACCCCACACACACATATATATAATGCCCCACATAACCTCCTGTGAGACACATTCTGGGTTGTAGTGAGTCTTTGTTGCTAGGATTAAGTCCTTAAACTTGGATCAGAATAAATGTAACCATGATTTCTCTAAGTTTTAGTGTCTACTGTTTCACTGGACACCTAGAATCTATAGTGTCCTAGAATCTACAGTGTCCAGGGCTTGGGCAAGATATTTTAGTGAATGTAAGCATTAATGAGACATTGCCTTTCCCCAAGGCTACACGATATCAGCCTATTCGAAGAGTGACACTGGCTTTACAGCCAAAAGCCCACAAAGTAGAGTGAAGTAACTGAATTTTTGTTAGCACGTTGGGTAATTTATATGGTGTTAGACTCTTGGGTTTGAAAGAAAGAGACTTGTGATCCCTTTCTGGCAAGCCACAAACTTCATGTGAAGATGATATCTGTTTCTCACTGGAGATATAAACAATAAGTGTGAGAGTTTTAGCAGTGAGTATATTAATATTATGTTGGAAATTGTATAGTTAAAGAGTAAAAGAGAAAATAGTGTAACTAATTTTAGAAACCTTCAAGAATTTGAGAGTGCTTTTATAAATGTAAGTTCCTGAATATGGCCAAAACTAAAACCTCAGCAAATTTGAAAGAGTAGATGTTTTAAAAGACCCAATTTTAAAAGAATGACCAAAAACAGCCCAGTAAATATTCAAGGCATTATAAAAAGAATATCAAAGTAAACTAGAAAAAAACAAATGGAACAATTTATAAAAATGAAAGCTATATATAATGAAGTGGAGAACAAGTCATAGTTCAAAGGATATATAAAGCCAAAAGTTTCTTTTTTAGATGGCAAAAAGAGAGATAGAAGATGAGAGAGATAAATTTCTTGTAAGGCTTATAAAGGAGATACGAGAGAAAGAGAAAAAAGCAAAAAAAAAAAAAAAAGAATAGAGTATGAGACATGAGAACAGAAACAGAGAAAAGAACAAAATAATTATAATAGAAGATTATATGCTACTCCAGGACAACATATTTACTGATAAAAAAAAAAAAAAAAAAAGGATGTTATCCCTTGAGGATAAACTATCAAAATGACCTTCAAAAAAATAGAAAACCTCAACAAACTAATAGGAAAATCAGAAATTATATTAAACGTCTACCATTTAAAAAGTGGATAAGGATTATGGCCTCCAGCTCTATCCATGTTGCTACAAAGGGCATGTTTTTTTCTCTTTTATCGCTACATAATATTCCATAGGAATATATGTACCAGTTTTCTTTACCCAATCTACCATTGATGGGCACCTGGGTTGATTCCATGTCTTTGCTATTGTGAACAGCGCAGCAATGAACATGCAAATGCATGTGTCATTTTGGTGGAATGAATCATTTTCTTTTTGGTATTTACCTAGTAATGGAATTGCTGGGTCAAATGGTAACTTTGTTTTAAGTTCTCTAAGAAATTTCCAGACTATTTTCCACAGTACAATAATCCTAAGAAAATTAATGCTGGAACAGAAAACCAAATATCACATTTTCTCACCTATAACTGGGAGTTAAGTATTGAGCACACATGGACACACATGTGGGAATAATAGTAGACACTGTGGACCACTAGAAGGTGGAAGGAAAGGTGCTGGGTTAGAAAACTACCTGTTGGGTACTATGCTCACTACCAGCATGATGGTATCTCTTTGTACTCCAAGACCCAATATTCACAATATTCCCATGTAACAAATCTGCACATGTACCCTCTATATCGGAGAGGGAAGATGAAATTAAAAAATAAAAAGTAGCCAAAATCAGATTATTTTACATTTAAATTCTACATAAGTGAAAAACAAACACATAATTTTAATAGTAGATTTTGGTAACAGATGAAAAGATCCTAATGCCAAATCTGGTAAAGAAATAACAAAAAGAGAGCTATTAACCATATTTCCTTATGACTACAGATGCAAAAATTCTATTTTAGAGTATTATTGTTTTGTTATTGATTTTTATTTGCATTCTTGATTTCCAAATATGTGACACTATTCTTTAATCCCCTGTTTGTTTGTTTACTAATAAAATATTCAGTACTGTATCAAAAGAATGTGAACATGAACAGTTTGTTTTAGAAAGGCCAGTATGGCTTCGACTGGAAGATCTTTCAGTGTAATAAATTAAAGGAGGAAAAATTACATGAGTATATAAATTGCCAAAAAGAAAAGACAAAAATGAAAGAACATAAAATGTACCCTCCATTCTAAATATATGTTCTATGAAAGTAGGAAGAACAGGAAAATGCTCTAAACCTGTAAAGGCAGAATCAAATGTAATTCCAAATGTAAGTTGTTACAGCTATTTCATTAAAATCAGGAATGAGACAAGGAGAGAACTATTATTATTATTGTTAGTTGGTATTGTTTTCTTAAATTGTACATTATGCAATAAGGCAAGAATCTAAAAACCTATACAAATATTGGCAATGAAGGAGCAAATTACCTTGTTTGTAGATTATAGTATTATGCATTTAGAAAATCCAAGAGACTTCGACATAAAACAAAATCAAATAACACCTTACACAAACAAACAGGAGATTAAAGAATAGGGTGACATATTTGGAAATCAAGGATGCAAATAAAAATCAATAACAAAATAATAATGCTCTAAAATAGAAAAGGAAAAATAATTCAATAGTCTTAACAAATAGTATAAAATACTGCAGGGTAATCTTAATGGAAAATCAGATAGTTGACCACAGGAAAACACTTACATTTTACTAGATGACATAGAACAGAAGCTGAAAAAAGTGAAAAAGAGACCATATATCTAGATGAAAAGATTTAGTATCACAAAAAATATTAATCCCTCCACAATTGCCTAAAAAAACTCCTCCAATACCAATCACAATTGCAGTAGTTAGTTGGCACAGGTGGTGGGGAACTGGAAAAATCAGAAGACATTTATGCAGCCAACAGACACACGAAAAAATGCTCATTATCACTCGCCATCAAAGAAATGCAAATCAAAACCACAATGAGATACCATCTCACACCAGTCAGAATGGTGATCATTAAAAAGTCAGGAAACAACAGGTGCTGGAGAGGATGTGGAGAAATAGGATTGCTTTTACACTGTTGGTGGAAGTGTAAACTAGTTCAACCATTGTGGAAGACAGTGTGGTGATTCCTCAAGGATCTAGAACTAGAAATACCATTTGACCTAGCAATCCCATTACTGGGTATATACCCAAAGGATTGTAAATCATGCTGCTATAAAGACACATGCACACGTGTGTTTATTGCAGCACTATTCACAATACCAAAGACTTGGAACCAAACCAAATGTCCATCAGTGATAAACTGGATTAAGAAAATGTGGCACATATACACCATGGAATACTATGCAGTCATAAAAAAAGGATGAGTTCTTGTCCTTTGTAGGGACATGGATGAAGCTGGAAACCGTCATTCTCAGCAAACTATGGCAGGGACAGAAAACCAAACACTGCATGTTCTCACTCATAGGTGGGAATTGAACAATGAGAATACCTGGACACAGGGTGGGGAACATCACACACCGGGGAATATCGTGGGGTGGGCAAAGTGGGGAGGGATAGCATTACGAGATATATCTAATGTAAATGACGAGTTAAAGGGTGCACCACACCAACATGGCACACGTATACATATGTAACAAACCTGCACATTGTGCACATATACCCTTGAACTTAAAGTATAATAACAAAAAAAGAAAATATAGTATGTTGAATATCACTAGTCAGGAAAATGGAAATTAAATCTACAATAAGTTGCCGTTTTCACCCACCAGTGTGGTATATATTAAAAGAGGGATAACATTCAGTGCTGGTGAGAATGTGGGGAAACAATTCTTGCACACATTGCTAATAGAAATTAAATTGTGGAATCCTTTGGAAAGGTAATCTGGCAGTGCCTACTTATGATAAAATAAACTCTAATTTGGCGACATCCCTTTTGGAAATCAATTGTATTTTAAAAGTTTCTAGGATGTAAAGACATGAATACAAGAATGTTTATGGGAGCAGTCTTTGTAGTGGCAAAGAACTATGAACAATTTGAACCCAACAGCAGGAGAATGATTGACTAAATAGCATTGTGTTGACTCTATAGAATACCAGTTATTAAAACAAATACATTGGTGCTGTATTGCTTCATGCAAAAGGATGTCCATAAGTTACAGGGCAAATTAAAAAGTGATGACAGAAGAATTCATCAGTGAGTATCGCTTTGTGTGTTAATATGGGAGAGGAAACTGATTACCCCAAGGGGTAGGGAAGGAGGATGGGAGTGGAAGGGAGCTGAGAGGTTATTAACTTCTCAAAATCATTTGGATTTTTCCACTTTTATCATCAGCATATATTATCTTATGATTAAAAAACAATGAAGAAAAAAATAATTTTTTTCTAGATAAATTCTCCTACATTCCATCTCCTGCATGGAATAAGAAGACTAGGTGAATGTATTTCCAAATGTATTTCCAAACAAATCACAGCATATTTCATTCTTTCAATTTTTTTGGTCATATATGTGTGCCGTGGAACTTTTGTATCTTAATATTTTTGTTTATTGACTCACTTTGTAAAAACTAGCCTTTTTCAAAGCAATGCATGAAAGTTATAGTTTGATGCTATAGTTATGTTGCTAAAAAGCACATAATAAATACAAAGTCACTGAAGTAAAAAGAACTGTTTGACCTCCTGCAGTTATTTAGCATCTCACACTTTGAAGACACTGGACCAACGAATTTAATAAACTAAGCAGGAAGCCAGGAGATCAAAAGGACATCCCTAGGGAAGGTGTTCAGCTCAACCTGGTTCCCACCCCATTTACCCCTTTGTTCCACAAGCTAGGAACACTTCGTCACTTTCTGCCTCCCAATCCTGACCCAGTTTGCAAACTAGTCTTGACTTGGAGTGGCTTATTATTATTTGGGGATTCAGCATCTATATCCACATGAAGATGGGCTGGCCATGAGGCTTTTCAGTTCACTAACCAGATGTGCATGAAACACACATACACAAAGGGGAAGTATTTAGGAAAGAAATACACCTAGGTTTGTGTTACTATTTCAGCTTAATCATTTATTCCTTGTATATACTCAGCCAATAATGGCTAATTATGGTAGATACTATTTACAATTATATGCTACGTACTAAGTCTTTGATGTACAGTGTCTCATTTAAACCTTTTGCAATCTTCTGAAGAACTTCCTCTTATTTTTCCCATGTTAACAAATGATGAAACTCAGAGAAGGGCCTATGGTTATATAGCTAATAAAAGTGACAGAGTCCACTAAACTTGAATTCAGATTGGGCAATGCTTTAACATCAGGAATCCAGCAGCTATGCGACTTTATAAACGACAATGTCGTTTCCTTATCTCTAAATTTGAGATTTAATGCTCCCCTCGTAAGATAGTTCCGATGATGACATTCACTATCAAGAGAAGTGCTTCCACATAGTTGACACACGGTAATTATGAGTCCCTTCCCTGTTTCCTGAGAAGTAACTTTTTTTTTTTAAAGACAGGATCTCACTCTTTTGCCCAGAATGGAGTACAGTGGTGTGATCTTGGCTCACTGTGTCCTTGATCTTCTGGGGCTTAATCCATTCTCCCACCTCAGCCTCCTTAGTAGCTAGGAGAATAGGCATTCACCACCACATTCTGCTAATTTTGTTTACTTTTTGTAGAGATGAGGTCTCACTATGTTGCACAGGCTGGTCTCAAACTCTTGGCCTCAAGTGATCCTCCTGACTGGGCCTCCCAAAGTGATGGAATTATAGGTATAATTCACCATGCCTGGCCCTGAGAGATAATTTTTACTGGTAGACTTCTGCTTTGGTTTTTGTTTCTAAGTCACTGTTCTGATATCTCAGACACCCAACCTTCCCTGTAAATTGGCCTCTTTCAGCCCCTGCAGGTGACTCCTGCCACCCCTTAATCTGGGAGTGTCAACCTTGTCTTTTTCCTCCCCTTCCCCCTCCACCCCATTTCCCAGATGAGTCTTATGCTTTACAGGAAGGGTAGGAACACATGGCACTCATGCAAGGTGCCAAGTACTGAAGAAGTGTTTTAAAATACATTTTCTTTCACCCTATAAAAGCAGCCCTTGTGTCTGAACTGGTCAGTTCCTCAGGCCCTTTGGGCCTGCCTGCCTTTACCAGTCCTTGTCTGTGTGCCTACCTGTTTTTGAGGCCGGATAATAACCATCTGATACTCAGGCCAGGAGTCCACCAGCACCTCCATGTTGAAGGGGTTCCCGTGATTGATGTGATACACAGAGCCGTACACCTGAAGGAGGGATGGGAAGGACTAGGAGAGGTGGAGATCCCCAGAGGTGGGGATCTGGATGTGAAGAGTAAGAGAAAAAAAAGGCCAAGGAACACTATTGGAAACAAAGGCCAAGGGACAGTGATGGTGAGATGAGCAGCATCTCCAGGACCATATTGATGGAAGTGAAGTCACCAGCAAGCAGGCAGAACTCACAGGTAGGTGTCCTTGTGATATCAAAGAGCTACTGTGCACTAGCTGGGCACTTGGTAGTGTTCTTAGCACTTATATTGTATGGATTCATTCAGTGTCCACAACAACTTTAAGAGGTAGGTGCTGATATTATTCCCATTTTATTAATGAAAAGACCAAAGATAAACGCACAGAAAGCTAAAGAAACAGACACAATGATATCCGACTAAAAAATGGCAACCTTGCAATGCATATTTGTTGAATCTGGCCCCAAACCTATGTTCGTAGCCACCATTTTCCACCGCCACTCCAAATGAGGGACAAAACCTGCAGAGTGGGCCTAGCTGCCTGTTCCCAAGGAGACGCAGCAGCTCTTAACATGCCTCCTTTGTCCCCAACCCCATCCTGTTTCCCAGCTCCAACCCTCTGCACAAAATCAGGAAGGACCAGAATCACGAGCCTATTTTCTTATCCTCAACACCCCTACTCCCTTACCCCGACCTCCCACTGTTCCTTCACCTTCAGGGACTCAGGAATGCTCCTTGCTAAAGATTCGAATAGGGCCAGCAGCTGCTCGGAATTATCCAGTAGAATCATTTTGTGGGATGCTTCAGTCCTTGAGCCCTCCAAGAAAAAACTCTGAAAAGAAGTGAAGGGAAAATGTTAAAGGACCAAATGAATTTAAAATTCACTTTACACATCTCCATTCAAGTAACACTCATGATGTAGGTATTGTTAATATCATCTTCATTTTTGATACACCAAAACTTAGAGAGACTAAATAAACTTCTCAAGTTCTTAGAAGGATAAATGCCAGAGTCAGATTTTGAAACCATATATGAATGGCTCCAAAACCCATGCCTTTCTTCCATGGTGGAATAAATTAAAAGTGAATATTCAGAGCTCTGTGAGCTTCCCAAACGCCTGTAGCAGAACAGTCCACCACCGCCACCATCATAACTCTTCCTTGTATTTTGATCATCAGATGCCCGAGGAGTCTTCTTTCTTCTGGAATAGAAAATATCTAAGAACAGTTGTGACTGGAAACCTCAGAGCAGAAGTTGCCAAATATTTTCTTTAATTCCTTAGGGTCAAATATTTCAGATTTATAACCATTTTGAAATTTGTCCCAGTTTCATTACAAAAATAAGAAAAAAAGATGGAAAAATTTTGAAACGTGTCTGTAAACTTCTGTTGAATTAACATTCAGAAATCTTACAAATATGCCAAAGAGCATAACAGTTGACATCCCATAGTGCCAAAACGGTTCTTAGACAAAAGGGACTTACTGAGAGCCCTCATTTTTAAATGTAGTTCAATGCATTTCTTTTTTTCATTTGGAATGTTCCACTCTAAGTTATCTTTAGTAAGATTTTGCCATTTCTGTAAGGCTTTGCTACTTCCCAGGCCTAATGTATAAGCCAGAAGGAACTCAGTTTTTCAGAAATTAAGGACTCCATTTTTACCCAAAATACTGGCTTTACTCTCAGATTGTTTTGATTAACTTAGCCAATGAATTTTCCTACCTAGGTGCACAAGAAAAATGAAACAAATGGGTAGAACACAAAAATCCCTGTGAATTTTCCAAAGCCAAATTTTATGACTTCTGCAACATTACTGCTTACTACCACTTCTTTTCTGACCCAGTCAGCTGTTAGTGGCCTCTAAGTGGATCCAAGCCAGTTAATTCCCAGATCAAATTCATTGCTAGACCCAGTCCATTTTCTGTGGCAACTCCAAACCCAGTTTGGATCACAGATTTGCTGAAGGAAACTCAGAGAGCTCAAAACACAAATGTGTGAAACTCCAAAATGCAAGAGAGAGCTTACCTTTGATTCTCAGCAGCTCTGAGAGATCAATGGACACAAGTGTATCCTGTAGGTACCTTCCGTGTTTACTCAGTGCTCCTGGGGATACTGGAAGCTCCACTTCAGATCCTGCTTCTGACACAATCTGATAAAATAAAAACTTCAGCTGAATTAAATTTAAAGAAGTTTGAGCGATGAACAATTCGTCTATCCAGCAGCCTTCAGAATCACAGCAGATTAACAGAGGTTCCAGCTGTGCCTTGCGGTCAAAACAAATTTATAGAGAAGAAAAGTTAAAGTGACATCCAAGAACCGGAAATGAGTTACAGAAACAGTGAGATTGCTGTTGACTGGGTGTTTGCCTTATTTAAACACTGTTTGAACATCAGCAGTCTATAAGTGGTGATGTAAGGCTGCTGGGATTGGCCAACATTCAAGTATTGTTACAGGTTCACGCTCTGAAATTAGGTTTTTAATTTTGTATATTAAGTTAGGTTACACTTCACCCACAAGGACTCAAATGTAGAAGTACAGAGTCCTTCTCAGACCATATTTAGTTTCCTTTAACACTTTGTAGCAAAATTCTTCTGCTGTGCAGAAGCTCTTAAGTGTAATTAGATCCCATTTGTCAATTTTGGCTTTTGTTGCCACTGCTTTTGGTGTTTTAGACATGAAGTCCTTGCCCATGCCTATGTCCTGAATGGTATCACCTAGGTTTTCTTCTAGGGTTTTTATGGTTTTAGGTCTAACATTTAAGTCTTTAATCCATCTTGATTTAATTTTGTATAAAGTGTAAGGAAGGGATCCAGTTTCAGCTTTCTACTTATGGCTAGCCAGTTTTCCCAGCACCATTTGTTAAATAGGGAATCCTTTCCCCATTTCTTGTTTTTGTCAAGTTTGTCAAAGATCAGATGGTTGTAGATGTGTGGTATTATTTCTGAGGGCTCTGTTCTGTTCCATTGGTCTATATCTCTGTTTTGGTACCAGTACCATGCTGTTTTGGTTACTGTAGCCTTGTAGTATAGTTTGAAGTCAGGTAGGGTGATGCCTCCAGTATTGTTCTTTTGGCTTAGGACTGTCTCTGCAATGTGGGCCATTTTTTGTTTCCATATGAACTTTAAAGTAGATTTTTCCAATCCTGTGAAGAAAGTCACTGATAGCTTAATGGGGATGGCATTGAATCTATAAATTACCTTGGGTAGTATGGCCATTTTCACGATATTGATTCTTCCTATCCATGAGCATGGAATGTTCTTCCATTTGTTTGTGTCCTCTTTTATTTCATTGAGCAGTGGTTCATTGTTCTCCTTGAAGAGGTCCTTCACATCCCTTGTAAGTTGGATTCCTAGGTATTTTATTCTCTTTGAAGCAATTGTGAATGGGAGTTCACTCATGATTTGGCTCTTTGTCTGTTATTGGTGTATAAGAATGCTAGTGGCTTTTGCACATTGATTTTGTATCCTGAGACTTTGCCTAAGTTGCTTATCAGCTTAATGAGATTTGGGGCTGAGACAATGGGATTTTCTAAATATACAATCATGTCATCTGCAAACAGGGACAATTTGACTTCCTCTTTTCCTAATTGAATACCCTTTATTTCTTTATCTTGCCTGATTGTCCTGGTCAGAACTTCCAACACTATGTTGAATAGGAGTGGTGAGCGAGGGCATCCCTGTCTTGTGCCAGTTTTCAAGGGGAATACTTCCAGTTTTTGCCCACCATCAGAGTGCACAGGCAACCTACAGAATGGGAGAAAATTTTTGCAATCTATTCATCTGACAAAGGGCTAATATCCAGAACCTACAAAGAACTCAAATAAATTTACAAGTAAAAAACAAACAACCCCATAAAAAGGTGGGCAAAGGACATGAACAGACACTTCTCAAAAGAAGACATTTATGCAGCCAACAGACACATGAAAAAATGCTCATCATCACTGGCCATCAGAGAAATGTAAATAAAAACCACAATGAGATACCATCTCACACCAGTTAGAATGGCAATTATTAAAAAGTCAGGAAACAACAGGTGCTGGAGAGGATATGGAGAAATAGGAACACTTTTACACTGTTGGTGGGACTGTAAACTAGTTCTACCATTCTGGAAGACAGTGTGGTGATTCCTCAAGGATCTAGAGCTAGAAATACCATTTGACCCATCCATCCCATTACTGGGTACATACCCAAAGGATAGTAAATCATGCTTCTGTAAAGACACATGCACATGTATGTTTATTGCGGCACAATTCACAATAGCAAAGACTTGGAACCAACCCAAATATCCACCAATGACAGACTGGATTAAGAATATGTGGCACATATACACCATGGAATACTATGCAGTCATAAAAAAGGATGAGTTCAATCGCAAGAACAGAAAACTAAACACCACGTGTTCTCATTCATAGGTGGGAATTGAACAATGAAAACACTTGGACACAGGAAGGGGAACATCACACACCACGGCCTTTTGTGGGGTCAGAGGAGGGGAAAGGGATAGCATTAGGAGATATACCTAATGTAAATATGAGTTAATGGGTACAGCACAGCAACATGGCACATGTATACATATGTAATAAACCTGCACGTTGTGCACATGTACCCGAGAACTTAAAGTACAATAATAATTTTAAAAAACACTTTGTAGCAAAATTCATTGAAAGGATTATCTACAAATGCTATCTCCAATCCTCCTCCTAATCTTATGTAACTGGGTTTTTGTTGCTACCATTCTACTGAAACATTTTTAAAAAGTTGTCAGTGATCTCTATGTTATTAAATCTATTGGTTAATTATAGCTTCTGTTCTTAATAGATCATTCTTTAATGGACTTTCTTCACTTGGTTTCCAAGATAGCACACTCTCTTGGTTTTCCTTTAACTTCACCGGTTACTTCTTACTCTTCTCTGTGGACCCTTCTTTTCTCCCCAATTTCTTAATTTTCATCACTTTAGAGTTCAATCATTGGCTCTCATTTGTATCCACACTTACTCCCTGGTAATCACATCTGGTCCCAAGGCTTTAAAATCAATCTACTTGGCAATGACTAATACATTCATATTAGTACTAAATCTCTTTTCCAAACTCAAGACATACGTATCTAATGACCTGTTTGATAAGTCTTGGGTTCCACCCAATAGCCATCTCAAACTCATTATGTCTCAGATTAAACTCCTTATCCACCCTCTCCACTCAGCCTACTTCACCTGTAGTCTTTCTCAATTAAGTTGATGGCAACTCCACCTTTTCACCTCTTCAAATAAAAACTCTTGGAGTTATTCTTAAGCATCTTTTCCCCTCGCACTTTACATCCAATACATTATGACATTCTGCTCATTCTGGTTGGGAGAAAATTCTTCATGACCTCTCCCATTTCTGCATGTCTTAGGAGCAGAGACATTGACAGCTTTTGCTCCTATCTTTTCAAGGGTGTTTGTAAAGAGGACAGCTTGGAAGCTAGAGATATTGCTTTCTTCTGAAGCAGAGGGCAGGTTTGCTGCAACACACATCTATTGCGTTTGCAACATTAATCTCCCTTCCTGTATTTCCTCTGTAGGACTTACGGAGCAAGGACAACTGACACAATCACATAAATCATTCTGCCTGCTGAAGGAGTCATAAAATCTTGCCTTTACCTAGGAGGGTTTTGTCATCTGCCAGCATTTATGAATCTGTGCCCCCGTAGAGTAAATTTTAGGTGCTTAACAGTTCTTGGCAGTCTTTTCTGGATGGTGAATTTCTTTAGTCTTCTCTCTATGGAAAACCAGAATGCTCCTTTTAAAACAAAAGCCACACTTTGTTATTCCTTGTGCATCTCCTGCTGGCACTCCCAATCTCATTTGGAGAAAGATATATTAAAGCCTTATAACAGCCCTCTAAGTTCTCCATGACTTACACTCCAGTCACCCCCCTGACATCCCTCCAGTCGTGTCCCTGACCTCAATCTCTTTGGCTTCTCTGTTTCAGGTACTTTTCTGTCCTTTTTCTTCTGCTTGCATTCTGTTTTCTCATTATACCTATAGAAAACTCTATTACTTTCTTTGAGTCTTCAACTTAAAGCCACTTGCTTAATGAGGCCTCCTCTAACC